CTAGAAGCAGCTCTGATGTTTCGAAAGAGATATAAAGAAAACACAATGATCTTGGTTGGATTTACCTGCTGTCGGTGTAAAGGGCTAAAAGCTTTTGGGCCACACAGGATTCTTCATCAGATGCCAGAGCTCTGTGCAGATCTGAAGCTGGAATGTTTATAGGGCAAAGGGTGCCGTCGAGTCACAGCCGACTCATAGTGGCCCCGTGAAATGTGTCGTCAAGTCGCAACTGAGTCATAGTGTCCTCAAGGGATTTTGAAGGCAAGAGATGAGCAGAGGCGGTTTGCCTTTGCTTTCCCCAGCATCGCAGCCCCAGTCTTCCCATCCAAGCTTCCCATCCAAGCACTGACCCTGCTTCATTTCCTAGATCAGGCTGGTCTGGGCTAGTAGGGATACCCGGAATGTTTATACATTAGAACAAAGATATGGAAGCTGTAACCTATTTTCTGTCGTAAGGACACATCCAGAACAGCTGACAGCTCATTGGGTGCTGCTTGGACTGAAGGAATGTGCATGTGAGAGCCAAGTGATTATTTTGTAAATACACTCTCTCGCAATCTTGATTTTATTGAGCCCTCTCTGCGTTATTCTCATAAACGTTTTACGTAATATAGCACCCCTTGTTTTTCGCTGGCATCGACGAATTCTCACTTTGCTCTTTCCACCCTTCTCTTCCTTAGGCAATCCGAAGTTTCCAGGTTGCCTTGCACATCTGCCCAGTGAACCCCGAACTGTGGAATGAGGATCTTTCTTGGGCAAGACAGCTACACAAACAGCAAGAGAAAGCCACCAAGACTGGGACAGCCACCCAAGGAACGGCGGCTCAGGGGGAGACTTCAGAGGAACCAATCCCGGATTACGATTTCGAAAGTGACGAGATTCTAGCCGTCTGTGCAGCCATCGCCGAGAAGGAAAAGAACACGTCTCCCTCAAAAACTGTAGTGATAGTGTCAGCTTCAGGGACTGTGGAGACTGTAACTGAAAAAGAGGAATGCACGACAACTCCGGACAGTACTGTTTTTATCAAAGCCCGATAAAGGGTCTGAAAACGACCCTTCCTTTTGAGGGCTTTCTTGCCCGTGTGTCCCCTGTGTGCTTCAGCCTCCTCTGGAAATCATCAATAACTGGGACAGCTCCTCTGACAGCTTGCCCTGCCAAGTTAGGCTTCAGTGGGTGTATAGTTGCGACCCTTTGCTTTCCAAACCCCTGTGCCAATAGGAAGGGGAGGAAGATCCCAGTGGTCGTACTTCAAGGGAGCTTCAGGTGCTACAAGGTGGCCACAAATTGAATGCTGCCGGGTACAGAGAGAATAGGTAATCCTGGGCAAAAGAGGAAAATTACCATGGAAGTATGGTGGGTGGCTTCCTCTAGCCTTGTTATGCTCCTGGTCTGAATATGGTGGCTTTCCCGGGGGAACTGAAGTTTAGGTGCTGCGTGACACTCTCATCGTTTCTATGGGAAGATTACCATCGGTGGTCCCATAAATACTATTTGAATTTCTCCCTTGACTGCCTCACATGGCCTGTTCTCGTCTCTGGTCTTTATGCATACCGTATAGAAGCCTGGAGGTGATCTTCCCACCTGTTGTGCAACCTAATGGCCCGGCTTCCTTTCCCTCCCCAGTTTGTTGCTATGGCTGATCATGGGCGGTGCCTCCACACCACCAATCCCTTGGCTTTCCCGTGCTCGTTTCAGCAGCATCCTCCGACCCTTGCACTAGAGTGATTTGAAACCCAGCTATTAAAACACATTTGTTTTTCAGTTAATCGAATGAACAGAAGGAGCAGGAGGCATCACTCCTCCTCTCCCCCCAGTTTCCAAAGAAGCAATACATAAATATAAATATATAAATGTCTTTGAAAAAAATGACGGGCAAATGAGTTCCCAAGACCCAAACTTGGACTATCGCAAAGCAAGTGCCGAATGATCACCAGGAGCCGTTTGGAGCATGCGTGTCGTTCGAATTATATATAATTGAACATATTCAGTTTATTAGCTGCTTCCCCCATTCCTCTGAACATGAAACAAGTTGTTCAGTTTATCGTCATGGCTGGGAATTCGCTGTTTTTCCTGCCTGCTTTTGTAATTTTAAAATACCAGATGGTAGCAAGCTTGAGAAGAAACAGGAGAGAATGTGGTGTCCTCGGTTTTATTTGCCCTCATTACTAACTCTGCAGGCTGAGTGATGTGAAACATTGTTCCGCTTGCAATAATGTTTTCCCTTCCGTATAAGGAGCCTTCTGCTGATACAAGGGGCTTGTCCACCAGCAGAAGTCCCCTCGCATCAGAGGAAAGCGCCTCCTTGAGTGGGACAGATCCACGGAATTGGAGCTCATGTGTCCAAATCATAGTCAAGGTTGACATGATTTTAATAAATATTCACAAAAGATCTGAATATCCTGTGCTATTTTCCCATAAACTCCTGATAAGTCTACTTAGGTTGTTTTGTAAACCGGACTTCTCCGTGGGTAGCCCTTCATGTACTAAGATCAGATTTAGCCACATTCTCAATTTATTAGATGCCTGGTCCATTTCTTCAGCGGAAACATTCTGAAGAAAGTTGTGTCTACTCCTTGGAGTCACACACAGTTGGTTTATAGCCCTCCCGGCTCAGCCCTCCTGTTTACAAAGCATGCTTTAATAAAGCAAACTTTTGTTTTTAATAAGACAGCTTTACTGGAAGAGCCGGGCTAGATCCAGACCTTGCTTTTGACTCAGATTATTGTCTTTTTCTCCCAGGAGACTACCAAATTTTTAATTTATGTAGCCTGCAATTTTATCTCACCTGATCTTATGCACATTTACTTACAAGTACAGCCCATTTTGTTCAGGGGGAATCTATCTGTGCCAAAGTTATCCTGTATAGGGCCCCAGGCTGTGAAAAACCCTGGAAATGGTGGGCAGATTTATTCTTAGCATGTTCAATGAGAGTACAAGGTTGGTGGCATTGCTAGTGAAACTACTTTAAATTTGGCTCAGCATAGTAGAGCTTAACTGTCCTTTCCGCCTCATTCATGCATGATGCTTCACCATGAAAAATGCATTTAGGACAGGATAAGGCACTGCTGACACTTCCTTTCCTATAATACTTGGATGTGTGGGATAGTTTCCTTAGAAGTCGCAGCCAGTTGCCATTCTACTCAAGTAAGTGGTGGCATCGTTCTTATTCTGCTTCTTATTTGTCATGCTTCGATCTTGGTTTTCAGGTATTTTTATGTTGTAAATAAAGTTTGCTTCCCATGCGATTAAATGGGTTTGTGTGCAATGCATGAAGTTAAAAAAAGGTAAACTGTTAAGTCTGTTTGAATGCTTGGGAGTGATACTCTGAAAACAGAGTTGCCAGAATTCTGCATCTAAATAGTCCAGATACTGCTGCAAGGAAGGTTTATTTGTAAACCTGTTTGTGCAGGTTTGCATGATTTTGCTTATTTTTCACATGTGTGGAGGCCGGCAATGGCAAACCACCTCTGAACTGGGTCGCCGTAGATCAGCTGTGACTTGACGGTACTTTCCACCACCACCACCACCACCTTTGACGAAGCCCCTGGTTAACAACTACTTTTCAAAAGGTGCCACGAGACGTACACAGAGCTGCCCGATACTGAATCAGACCATCAGTCCGTCAAGATCGGTGTAGTCTACTCAGGCCGGCAGTGACTTTCTAGGATCTCAGGTGAAGGTCATTCACATCTCCCATCACCTGAACCTTTTTAACTGGAGGTGCCGGGGATTGAACCTGGGACCTTCTGCATGCCAAGCAGGGGCTCTTCCACTGCGCCACGGCCCTCCCCCAAGGAGGGGTTCATTTATTATTGCAACATTGCTGTTTATTTTTTGCTGCAACAGACTAATGCGGCTGTCTCCGGAATTACTTTTGGGGGAGGGTCCCTTTGGTTAGGGATGGAGGCCCCAGGCCCTGAAGCTGTCCCTCCAAGTGGCCTATTGGAACGTCTCATTTTCCATAGATGCCGCTTTCTCTTTTCCCTCTAGGTAGGCAACTGAGGGTTCATTTTTGTTTGCTTAGGTCTTCAGCTACATGAGTCATGACACATGCTTGGAGAAACACTCGAGTTGAGCCGCACGTGGATGCAGTTGAGAAAGTGATCTCTGACTGTGGCAACATAGTAATTCTCTTTACAGGGGCTGTGATCACCGGAATTGTAATTTAGTTTTCTCTCTGAGTGGACAGCAGTGTGCATTGTTGATTTGGGGCCAAGGTTGCCTTGAGCCAAGAGGAAAAGGGGGGTGTAAATAGTGAACTAAACAGGGATATGAAGCTCAGTTGGTAAATCAGTTAAAGTCCTCTTTAATCATCTGGAAAGGTGTCTTTTTAATGCAATCGCTCACAGAAACTGGGGAAGCGTGTGTCATCCTACAAAGAAGCATTCTGTTTTCTGTAGGGCATTTTACCGGGTAACGCCAATGGCGTGTATCACTTAAAAGCAAAAGAAGTTTGCTCCCCCTTCCTCAGGAAAAAAAATCTCTGTATGCAAATCCATGCAGATTTAATTGATCCATTCACTTAAGATTTCTTCAAGTGATAATCTTAGTTAGACTTATTAGCCTGGCAGGGCGAGGGAGTGATCTACTGTTATAAAAGTCGTTGATAACATGTACAACACGAGCATTCACGTATCAGCTTATATCCTACAAGTGTAGGTGCGTGTTTTTGGGTGCTGCTTGGAAATATTCCAAGAGCTGCTTGAAGGAGGTGAAGAGTGCTAGATCTCTCCCAGCATCATGGCTTTGCCTTCTAGCCTTCTATGGTCAGCTCCTTGGCATCAGCTGTTAAATTGTAAACACGGTTCCACCGTTAACCTGAGGCACTTGGCCCAACATTTAGCTTTCCGAGGGAGGTGTAATTATTTGGGGTTACTACACCACAACACTTCACCCATTTTTAAAGTGACATGCAAACATCTCATTTTGAGACTTCTGTAGTAATCCGTGTTTCCGTCATTCAGTTACGATGATTCGGAGATTTGACACACACCAGAGGTTATTTCGGGGGGGATCGCAGTTCCCCCGGGTGAGCTGCTTCCGACCGCCCCACTTCCGGCCCTCATTCAGCCAGGAGGAGGCAGGAGAAGAGGGAGGGTAAGTTGCTTCCTCTCCACCTCTCCCCACCCCTGCCTGCCTGGGGCCAGGGAGGGCCTTGGCGGGGCTTCCTCGCACTCCCGCCGGCCTTGCAGGTCCACCGCCGGGCCCCTGATGTCAGGGGGTGTGGCATATGCTAATGAGTTATGCTAATGAGTTCCCTTAGCTCTTTTTCTATGAAACTACCCCTGACACACACCATCCTAATTGGGATGTTTAGTACCTTCCACTGTAACATGTATTCTTTTCACATTGACCCAAGCGAAAATGTGTATGTTCTGCATTGGAACTAACCATACTTTTTAAAAAACAACCACCCCTCAGACCACCTTGTACCACAGAGGCAGCTGTGTAGACTATTAAATTTACTTCACTAGATCGGAGTCCAGCAGCACCTTAGAGACCAACAAGATTTTCAGGGTACAAGGTTTCAAGTGTCAGAGCTCCCTTCGTCAGATACAAGTAGGAACGGGGATCCCCTAGTCCTTCTATCCCAGCCTGAAGGTGAGAGGGGTGTTACAGAGAAAGGAGTCAGCAAGCAGAGGTAATTAAAAACAGCATGCGGTGGTCTTTTACCTTGCTGGCTGGGACAGGCAGTTGGTTTTTGCGAAAATGCTGGACTATCAGGTAACTGACTGGTGAGTTATCTAATGCCTTGCACTGAGCAGATGGAGCAAAGTCTCTCCTGCAAAATATTCTCACAAGGTAATGCTTAGTCTGGAGAAGAGGAGGTTGAGGGTGGACATGATTGCCCTCTTGAAGTATTTGAAGGGCTGTCACTTAGAGGAGGGCAGGGAGCTGTTCCTGTTGGCAGCAGAGGAGAGGACTCGCAATAACGGGTTTAAATGAAGGGCGGGCGGTACCAGCTGGATCTTAGGAAAAACTGTTTTATGGTAAGAGTTGTTCCACAGTGGAATCAGCTGCCTCGGGAGGTGGTGAGCTCCCCCTCACTGGCAGTCTTTAAGCAGCGGCTGGACAAACACTTGTCAGGGATGCTCTAGGCCAGTGATGGCGAACCTTTTAGAGGCCGAGTGCCCAAACTGCGACCCAAAACCCACTTATTTATTGCAAAGGGCCAACACGGCAATTTAACCTGAATACGGAGGTTTTACTTTAGAAAAAACAACTCATACATTAACTTAAAATGATCCAAACAAAGTAAGGAAAGCAATCCCAAATGCTTTCATTTACTTAAAATTATTTGGCAGAGAATTCGACACTTTAACGATGGTCTGGGCCTGGCTGGGGCGATGGACCGCGTGCCCACAGAGAGGGCTCTGAGTGCCCCCTCTGGCACCCGTGCCATAGGTTCGCCACCACTGCTGTAGGCTGATCCTGCATTGAGCAGGGGGTTTGACTAGATGGCCTGTAGGGCCCCTTCCAGCTCTGTGATTCTATGAATACTTAAAAACGTGTGCGTGTTCTTAAATGTGACATTGGTGTTATCTGGGTGAAGTATGAGTACAGTCATGTCTGAGAATGAATACACAGATGCACACACGCATTAATGTTTGAACTCCAGCGGCACCGTCTGCATTTAATTCTGATTTCCCTCCTCCAAAAAAAAGTGATTTGTGCCAATACAAACAGTTTAAAAAAAAATGTATCATCAATTTTGAGGCTCAGAATTCTAATTCCAGCAGAAAGCAATTCACATGAAGACACGGGAAGCGGCAGAGCATGCTTACTATTTTCCTTGACAAAAGCCAGATTTTCCAAACACCTTTACAGGATAACAATACCAAGACGAAGCTTTTGAACAAGTACAAAGTCCCTCTGGCCTTCAGTTACTGTTATTTCTGAGATGAAAAGTTAAGGCCTCATCATCCTTGGGTTGGATCCAGGCAGCGCTTCATTCAGTCTCCTTCAATTCTCCTTTCTACAACTCTTGTCCCACATAACTTTTGTCCGTGCAGGTTCCATGATCCCCAATACAGGCATATAGGGGTGGGCAAAAGGGTCCTCTCCTCCCCTTTTCACCAGTAGAAAAGCTGCCTGGATTCAACCTCATTTTATCATATCAGTTGTCACTGCTAATGAAGATACAACCTCGGTTTGTCTGTGAACATATGAAGCTGCCTTATCCATGCCAGACCACTGGGCCTGCAGTAGCCCGTATTATCTGTTTGGATTGACTGTAGCTCTCCAAGAGCTTTTCTGGCCTTGCTAGGTCAGATCCCGTAACTGGAGATACCAGGGATTGAACCTGGGACCTTATGCATGCAAAGCCATGTACTCTTCCACTGAGCCACACCTCCTCTCTGACCTGAGCAGGCTGCAGGTTTATCACTGCATGTTGTAGCACAAAGTTCTGCTTTCTTGAGGACCAAACTCAATCCAAAAAAAAAGAGCAGCACAATCCTTTTATCCCAGATGCATCGGTGCGACGGCATTTGTCTCGTATGGCAAGGGCACGACACAGAACGGAGCCGAGAAGTTAGCTTCTAGCATGAAAGAAATATCACCACTATGGGGGGGGGGCTTTTGAATATCGACAAAGAAAACACGTCAGAATCACAGACAAGATCACATTCTTTTAACTTCGGGCCAATTTATCCCGAACAAAGACCGACTCCTATGTTCCATTTCAAACCCTCCCATAAGCGTGCACTAAACCGGTGCTGTTCCGGGCTCCAGGTTTCCCGTGCAATTTGCACACTGGTCCCATCAATGAGATAAACAACCACCTTCATTGTTTTGTAGCCTATGAGAAATGGCAATATGCTGGTCAGCGTAAGCCTATCTAAACAGGCTGATTTTGCAGTGGCAGATGTTTTTTTAAAAAAACCAATGATGTCATTTTAGATTTCCCCCCCCAAAAAAACCCCCATGCCAACTATTTTGTTGTGCCAACCCTCTACCTTTTTTTCAAATTCCAAAAGTACCCACAACTTCAACAAGATTGGGAACCCCTGGCTTAAACAGACCACAGTGGATCATGACGTCTGAATGCGGGAAGGCTTAGGACTACAGATGCTCAAGAACTGGACATGCGGAAGGCTTGCCTTCAAATATACATAGGCTCAAGCTGTAAGTATTTATCAGTTCCAGAGGTCATTTCGGGGGGGACCGCAGTTCCCCCGGCGAGGTACGGGGGCGGTGCACATGACGAAGCCCCGCTCCCTGCTTCCAGCCGCCCCGCTTCCGGCCTTCATTCAGCCAGGAGGAGGCAGGAGAAGAGGGAGGGTAAGTTGCTTCCTCCCTGCCTCTCCCCACCCCTGCCTGCCTGGGGCCAGGGAGGGCCTTCGCGGGGCTTCCTTGCACTCCCGCCGACCTTGCAGGTCCACCGCCGGGGCCCTCATGGGGCTCGGCAGTGGAGCTTCAAGGCCGGCGGCGGCCGGGACCATTGGGGGCGGGGTGTGTGGCCTTATGACACACTTCCGGTGATGTCAGGGGGTGTGGCCCCATGACACACTTCCGGTGATGTCAGGGGGTGTGGCATATGCTAATGAGTTATGCTAATGAGTTCCCCTAGCTCTTTTTCTACAAAATGACCCCTGATCAGTTCTTCACAGTCTGCACATCACACAGTTTTGGAGCTTGAGCATGCACAAAGCCTCAGTTGGAATCTTTCCGATCATGTGACTGCACAGGTGACCACTCAACACTGGCTACAGGTAAGCAACTTGTTCATATTTAGAGCACTGGATTGGTCCCACGGGCCAATGACACTGTATTCTGAATACATTCACAGAACATAAAACAGGCGCACACCCATAATATAAGGAACATTTTGTAAAAAAAACCCATTCATCTCGCTCAGCAGTACAATAAAACATTCCCTTTGAATTCCAAATTCCTATTTTAAGAATTAGCTCTGCTTTGGTCTTTCTGAGTTGATGTGTCTAGAAGATAAACTGAATGGGGGGGGGAAATAACCTAGCGGCAGGTGTTAAGAGGAACTTGCAATATTATTTTTTTCTATACTTTGTATTAATAATTAACCTTCTCACAGAGAAGAGTGCATTTTTTAAAAAAAATACATTCAGTCACAACATAATATACAGCCAGAGTCATTCACATTTTTCACACCAGAGGGGAGGTTTAGTTTTTTCCTCCCCAATTTTGTATTCGCTAGGGCAGCTGTGAAGGTTATTCTACATAACAACCCAGCAAACCGTGTTAGACTTTAGTACTCTCTGAACCTTATTATGTGACAGGGAGAGGAATAGGGTATAAGTATGCTTCAATCATGTTTGGATGGAAAGGAAAATGGCAACTTTCCAACCCCGGACTTTTGGAAAACAAAACAACCTTCCATCCCAGGGCAAGACAGGGCAATGAGTAGAAAAGCCTGTGCTTCCGACTCCACTACATTCATCTGCTTTACTTTGGCAAGGCCTGACAACTGTTTGGCAATCTTGCAAGAGCTCTGTGCCAAACGTGCACAGAAGAAAAGCACTTGACAACTGTTTGGCAATCTTGCAAGAGCTGTGCCAAACGTTAGGCACAGCTGCATTCCCCCCCTCTTTAGGGGGCAAACAGCACATCTAGAGTGCCCAGGTGTAGCATCCCAAGCCGTTAGGATGCTTGATTCTACCTCTGATGGCTGCCATTTTGTCTCTCATGGGTGCCCCTTCCCAGTTCACCTCGCTCTGAATGGCTACACGGTTCCCATCAGACTGAGAAAGCGAAAACGCCCGTAGGCACGCCCATAGGCATTGGCTGCACCTCAGCAGCAGCAGGACCCACAGATGGGTTGACATCTGATATGTCCATCGTACCAGTCCCTCCTTCCTTCCTTTTGCTCATATGCACTTCTCAGACAAGTTCAGCGTCTCACAAGGGAAGGTTACTTGCAGAGAGCTGCCTTTGGAGGCGGCGGCGCCAATCTCGCCATCAGGCCGGAGTTCGTTCACCAGAAACACCTTCTCGGAGTTCTGACCCTGTGACGAGTCTGAGGTATCTGAGCTCCTCAGTGTCCTTATGGACGTAGTGTCTGACTGGGCCAGGCTGCTGGTGGCTCCCGGCAAGAGCATACGCCCTCCAGCCATGCCTTCGCTCGGCTCGAGGGGGTACAGAAGAGTCTGGGAGGTGCTGCTGACCTCCCTCAGTTCTCGAGAGATGAAGGATGGCGAATGGTTGGCCGTGGCCACCGAGGCCCTGCGGCCGTCGGTGCAGTTGCAGTTGCTTCCCGAGTGCTGCCGGTGGGCCCCTCCGATGCGGCAGAAGAGACATTTGACCTTCTCAATGGCTTTGCTCAGCACCGTCTTGCGGAGGAGGATGTACACCCAGGGGTCGAGGATGGGGTTGACCGAAGCGATGCGGATGGCCTGCAGGTCTGGGTTTTTCTGGATGGCCATCACTACGGGTGGCCGGTAGAGCTGGTTCACAAAGACGCGCACCTGAAGGGAACAGGAGACACATAAGGATCCATGTACAAGTCAAGCATTTGGCTGGCCACATGCATGTTACAACAGGGAAGGCCAACGGGCAGAGAATGGTTTTGCATCATGTCACTGTGGAGATATTTTTGGAACGGAAAACATTTCCCGCAAGTTGATCTCAGGGAGGGATAAAAGACATCCCCCATTATCTAAACCACAGTCCAATAAACCCTTGACAGATTATTTCAGATAGTTTTGCTCTCTCCGGTACCAGGCGTTTGGCCCGTGTTCATCATTTCAAAGACTTTGGTGGAGCAGATTTCTTTTTTTGTTTTGTTTTCTACAAGCCAAAACCCCCACACTCCTCATACACCAAATCTGCTGTTAAGTGTTCTGGGTGTGTAATAGGTACAGAATGTGGCCTTGAGTCATTTTGGAAGATCTAGCCAATTGCTGAATACTTTCATCCAGTCAGCCTCTCGTAAACACACGTTTCAAAACAAAATTGGGCCCAAGTTTCCACCTCACAGGCAAAACTCTCTTTTCAGAACAAGCCTGGAACTGTAACACTCTTTTGAGGTTAGAAGTAATTTTTGGTGGGTATCTTCCAAGACTTGAATATTCAAGAAAACATTTTTTAATACCCTCCAAATTTCACCTGTAGTGGCTTGTTAATACTTATTTTGTTTAAAGAGCTTCCCTGGAATAAACCCTTTTTTTAAAAAGATAGTAATAATAATAACACATCATTTAGGAAGATAGACAGCACACAACAAGACTGCCGACTTCTTTCAATGTGAATCTGGCCTGTCTTATTTATATTATATTATAGGAATGCTGGCTGTAATCCTATGGACAGTTAATTGTACATGTGTGACTAATGTTCAGGATGCTAGCCAGTAACTTAAAAGGCACTCACAGGGCTTCATGTCAAAACCCAACACACTCCAGATCTGAAGTCTATTCCTGGAAACATGACAAAGGAATGGGTAAGACAGGGAGGTGGATTCTGCACTTTTCCTTCTGCTTGAAAGGTGCTAGCTAGCCTCTGCTGCACTGCACGTTCCCGTGGCGCTAGGCTCTGCCGGCTCATAGAAGACCAGCGTCTTGCATGAGCTCAAAGCAACTGTGCCAGCAGAACATGCTCCACAACCCAAGCCTGCTTCTACAAGTGGACAGAAAGTACAGAATCCAAATCTTAGGCTACAATCTTATGTTCTCTGATTTGCAAGTATGCCCCATTTGTAAACGGAGCTGCGGTGGCTCAAGTGGTTAAGACGCTGAACTGCAGGCTGTGGAAGGTCAGTAGTTCAGCAGTTCAAGACCCGGGTGCCGCAAGACGGGGTGAGCTCCCGTCTCTAGTTCCAGCTCCTGCCAACCTAGCAGTTCGAAAGCAAGAAATTGCAAGTGGATAAATAGGTACCACTTCGGTGGGAAGGTAACAGCGTTCCGTGCGCCTCGGCGTTTAGTCATGCCGGCCACATGACCACGGAAACGTCTTCGGACAGCGCTGGCTCTTCGGCTTTGAAACGGAGATGAGCACCGCAACCCTAGAGTCGGATTCGACTGGCTTTCGAGCAAGGGAACCTTTACCTTTTACCCATTTGGATTTCGAGCAAGGGAACCTTTACCTACCCATTTGTAAGCATTCGTTTATCACATTATAAATCATCTTTAACTTCCTTAGATATCTCAGAAAGTCCCTCTTACTGAGATTATTGCACTATGCAAAGCCCTCTACCTTGTATGGAAAACAAACAGACCAGGGCTTTTTTGTGTGTGTGTGTGTGTGGAAAAAGAGGTGCCAGAACACTCAAGAGGGAAATGAAGTTTTCAATCTGCATGCTGAAAACTCATGAACTTTTGAACATTTTTAAAAGAATTTGGTCGAAGAGGTTGCAGAACACTGTTCCGGTGAAACAGACCAATCTCTTCCCTCCCTGTTCCTTTGAACATACACCTAAAGAAGAGTTCTGAGATATCTAGAAAGATGCACACTGCATCTTAATAACAGGGGTTGTTCTGCATAAAGGTATTGGCTCTGATCCTGAGGGACCGCTTCTACTAGAGAGAAGAGCAGAGATGAGAGTTCGCCCCGGGGGAGGGTGTGTTTTTTTTGGAAAATCCTTGAATTCCAACTAGTTTTCTGGCCACTAGATGGCATAGTGTCTACACTGCAGGCTGCTCCTTTCCCTTGTGTACAAGTAGTTGGGGAAAGCACGCCAGGGAAAGAAAGAGTGAAGTTAGCAGCTCTCTGGACGGCTGCCGCCAAAACTAAAGGCTGGTTGCTTACAGGAGGGGTAAAAGCAGCAAGAAGACTTTTGAACAGCCAACCAATCCAAGTACAAAGCTTCAAGTGACTGATGTTACAGCCAACAGATTCCACTGAAGTGGCAGCCAATACAGAGTTGGACACTTAGGGCTAGAGTCTACTAGGTTCTCCTCCTGGATCTTACCAGCTTCTTCCTGCAATATGCAGGAAGTACACAGCATGTGCTCTTTTGGAATGTGCTCTTTTGAAAACAGTTTGGTCCAGGACAACAACATTACTATATCTGCCATGCTTACAACTCCTCGTTATTTACAGAGCGGGAAACAGAATCAAACAGCAAGAGATGTGCCACACACTGAGTACACGACGGTAGTTGTGGAGGAAGGAAGAGTAGAGATGCTGTATGACCAAAGGGTATACCTAATCCCATATGTGAAATGTTAGAGGGTAACGCCATGTCATATTGCTATGAAAATTACCACGATAAATTATTGCACTTAATTTTTATTTGCCACACGCCCACTTCCCAATTTAGGCTCAAGGTACTCCACAAATCAGGCTTTCCTTGGTGACTTTCCAACCTTCGCATCTGAGCAAATTCTGGTGGTCAGGATTGCAGAATTATGAGGCTGAAGCTCAAATATCCTTATTACTTTAGTTGGTCGTTTCTTTTACCATACAGTTGAATATTTTGCAATTGTACAAATAGCCCGATCAAAGTTATTAGCCCACAAAGAAAGCCTGACAAAATGTCAGGGATTTGAAAATTATTTTTAAAATTTCCTTGCCTGGTTTCCCTGGAGGCAAATCTCACTCACCACAGATGACCAGACAAATAGTTATAGCTGGTTACCCACACCTGCAGGGTGGAATAGAAATCTAACAAACTGTAATGGTATTTATAACCAATAACTAAATAAGTCTCAAGGTAAGATTAAAAGCCATCAGACGATCAGCCAGGTGCAGCTACTAGATTGATACATCCAAAATAAGGAACAATGAGGTTCCAATCTTATGCAGACTTCACTAGAGAATGTCATACTGAATATAATGGGCCTTAATTCTGCATAAACACACACAGGATGGTAAAATCAAAGGCATGCTTGCGGCCAGCGGGAAGCCATGGGTAACTTGGCACATATACCTGTACTATATCTGTGGTTGAAAATAGATTCAGGTGAGTAGCCGCATTGGTCTGAAGCAATAGAACAGAGTTTGAGTCCAGTGGCACCTTTAAGACCAACAAATACCCGGAATTAAACTTTGTTGGTCTTAAAGGTGCCGCTGGGCTCAAACTTTGCACCGTAGTTGAAAACGTTCGTTTTATGCACACAGATTACATTTTAGAAGGCTGTGTACCATTTTATGCACACACAATAAAACGTGGACTGCATGGAACAGCCCTGGGATGCTGCTGCATCTCTTCTATGAATGTCGTCTGTCCTTTAAAATAATGGCTCTCTAGCATTATCTGGTATTGCAAAACAAGTTTGTTCCGGCCGGTTCCTGTGCAACTAAGCTCGCTCTTGGATTTTATACACAGCCAGAAAAGCCAAACTGAATTTCTGATCACACAGATGTGGGATGTTCTCTCCTTCACCACTCTGATAACCGCTTCAATGAAGTTGTCTTCTCATCCCCTTAATTAACAGGGTTACTTCCAGGGAAATGCAGTCATAGTCTAAATTCCACCCACGGCTTGTACATTTGGTATTAAAGATTTCTGATGCAGGGCCACTTTGGGAAAGCATTAATGTGTATCCAGCTGTTCCTAAAACTCTGACGAAGCAGACGTGGTATGTCTGATTAATTTTTTAAAAAATAAAAAAATAGCCACGAGATCGGCTAGGATACCTCGTTCAATAGCTTTCCTTTTTATCTCAGAACTTGATTAACATTTATTTACTATATCTTTTGCAAGGTCTGAGTGCTTGCCAATAATAATAGCCCTTTCCAAACAGTGAAAAAACCCTACACACTTTGGAGCCTATTTCAGTGAACCCAATTACTTGCCGGTTGTACAAAGGCCCACTCCCATCCCTATTTTTTAATCTGAGAGCTGGTGTTTGCTAATCCATTTTGAAGCAAGACATTACCTTAAATTCATCAAACTAGATGCTTATTGCAAATTAATGGATGCAGCAATTTCCAGAACTCACAGAAACACACTGACGCCGTGAATCACCTTTGAAGTCTGTAGTTCCTACCTAAATCTGAACCAGAACTTTGGTGCTTAATTGCAACAGGTAACTGATTCAAAGCGACCTCTTTTCTTCAAGCTTTGTTGCTATACAACTTCAGGAACACTATGTCCAATAAATAAATAAAAAAATAATAGGTTTTTGGCTGCTGTTTCTTGTAATAAGAAGTTATACTGCAAGCAACACTCACACACAAACTAATACTTGTAATTGGCACTCAGGAACAAAGTACTGCAACATGTGAGCGGAAAACTGGAAGTGAAAAGTAGCTTCTGAGTATGTGCAAAATCTATTTCCTGCAGAACTTTGAAACCGCTGCTACCTCCCCCGGAAGATATTTGGGATTAAGACGCAGGGATTCAGACTCAAAGGGTATGACTTCTGACTGAGCTTTTCTTAGCACCTCTTACTCAGAAATCAACACTTTGCTTTGGGCCAGATTAGATAGGGCATGGAAGAGTAGGATTGCCAGCTCGAGGCTGGGAATACCTGGAGATTTTGCAGGTGAAGCCTGAGTGGGGGAGCGTTTGGGGCGGGGGGGCTCA